GGGACTACAGGCGCCGCCACCACGCCCAGCTAGTTTTTTTTTTTTTTGGTATTTTTTAGTAGAGACGGGGTTTCGCTGGGTTAGCCAGGATGGTCTCGATTTCCTGACCTCGTGATCCGCCCGTCTCGGCCTCCCAAAGTGCTGGGATTACAGGCTTGAGCCACCGCGCCCGGCCCGATTTCCTTTTTGAAACGTTACCAAAGTTGATTCTCCTTCTCTGGCAACTTCTTCCTGCTAAGGGAGGCTTTACAGCCCATTCTGTTGCCATCACGGTTTCGCCCTTTCCTTCAGCCCCCTGCTGATCGGCTCCGGCTCACCCTCCTGAATGCACTGTGTAGCCCAGGCTCGGCTGCAGGAGAGGCTTGGGAAACCCCAGTGCTTAATTCCTCTCCCACTCCAAGCAGACATCTTCTGTAGTAAAAACGGCACAGGCTTGGGTGGCAGTCTGGCTGTACCTATTTCTTTTTTTCTTTCTTTTTTTTTTTTTTTTCCTGAGACAGTCTTGCTCTATCACTCAGGCTGGAGTGCAGTGGCACAATCTCAGCTCACTGCAGCCTCCACCTCCTGGGTTCAAGTGATTCTCGTGCCTCAGCCTTCCGAGTAGCTGGGATTACAGGGGTACGCACCACCACGCCCAGCTAATTAATTAATTAATTAATTATTATTACTTTACACGGAGTCTTGCTCTGTCACCAGGCTGGAGTGCAGTGACGTGATCTCGCCTCACTGCAATCTCGATCTTCCGGGTTCAAGCAATTCTCCTGCCTCAGCCTCCCGAGTAGCTGGGGCTACAGGTGTGCGCTACCACACCCAGCTAATTTTTCTAGTAGAGACGGGGTTTCACCATGTTGGCCAGGATGGTCTTGATCTCTTGACCTTGTGATCTGCCCACCTCAGCCTCCCAAAGTGCTGGGATTACAGGCGTGAGCCACCGCACCTGGCCCCGGCTGATTTTTGTATATATTTTTTAGTAGAGATGGGGTTTCACCATGTTGACCAGGCTGGTCTTGAACTCCTGACCTCAAGTGATCTGCCTGCCTCAGCCTCCCAAAGTGCTGGGATTGCAGGCATAAGCCACCGCGCCTGGCCTGGTTGTACCCTTCGAATGCTGGCCTTGGCTCGCTTTATATCCTTAAGCCTCAGTTTCTTCCTCTGGAAACTGGAGTGATCAGCTTTACGCTGCAGAGAACCAAATAGAACGGTCTCCTCTCCATTTGTAAAGTCAGCAGTCCCCTAATGGAGCATGGCACGGGCCAGGCCAGCTTCCAAACAGCCCGGTTTGCTGACCCGGGTGTCTGTGACCCCAGGCCCTATTGGCCTGGTTTGCTCACCATGGTGATGTCTTGTGTGATTTGCAGAGCTCCAAGCCCACTTTGAGCCTACCTGTGAGACTGAAGGGGTAGATAAGGACATGGATGAAGCGGAAGAGGGCTATCCCCCAGTGGCCAGACCTGGCCAGGAGGCCCAGCCCCACCAGCAGCACCTGAGCCTCCAGCTGGGTGAGCTCAGGCAGGAGACCAACAGGTGAGGAGCTTCTGGGCCCTCTGGGAGCAGAGGCTGGGACAATGGCCTGAACCACCAAGATGCTGATGAATTGGTTTGGTTGTTGAGTGTCTCACCCAGGTCTTAGGAAAAAGCAGCTTCATCATCCACGAACTGGGCAAGGGCGTATTCTTAATTGAGGGACTAGAGGAATGCCTTCCTTTAAAAAAAAAAAAAAAAAAAAGTCAGAATCAGTGGTATAGTACCTTGCCCCAGGCCACACAGAAATTACTCATACTGAAGGCAGCAGCATCTCTGAATTCTTTCTCTGTGTCTTTTCACCAAGACGGGACGCCTGGCATGGTGTGTGAGTCTTGCAGGCTCAGCAGCCTGCCCCTGCAGAAGTCGCAGGGTTTGGGGGTTGGTTAGCACTTCGTCAGTGGATGCACATCCCATAATCCCAACCCTGAGGAAGTTTGCCCTGTTGTCATTTCTTCCATGTGATTTGTCATGATCCCTAGACGGGTATTAGTGGACTACCTTCCCAACCAGGGAACCCTGGCATCAGCATCATATTCCTCCAATGCACAGGTCTGTTTTGTTCACTTCCTGGCACATAGTAGGTGCTTAATAAATATTTGTGAAATGGACGGGCATGGTGGCTCACGCCTGTAATCCCAACACTTTGAGAGGCCGAGGTGAGTGGATCACTTAAGGTCAGGAGTTTGAGACCAGCCTGGCCAACATGGTGAAACCCCGTCTCTATAAAACTACAAAATTAGGCAGGCATGGTAGGGCACGCCTGTAATCTCAGCTGCTTGGGAAGCTGAGGCAGGAGAATCGATTGAACCTGGGAGGCAGGGTTGCAGTGAGCTGAGATTGTGCCATTGCACTCCAGCCTGGGCAACAAGAGAGGAACTCCGTCTCAAAAAAAAAAGAAAGGAAGAAATATTTGTGAAATGAATAAAAATATTCCTGTTTGCTCTGGGAAGTCACATTATCAGCTGCGTGATTTGGTTTTTAAAAGTAATCCATAGTTGGCCCGGTATGGTGGCTCACGCCTGTAATCCCAGCACTTTGGGAGGCCAAGGCGGCCGGATCACAAGGTCAGGAGTTTGAGACCACCCTGGCCAGTATGGTGAAACCCTGTCTCTACTAAAAATATAAAAATTTGCCAGGCATGGTGGCGTGTGCCTATAATCCCAGCTACTTGGGAGGCTGAGGCAGGAGAATCACTTGAACCCAGGTAGCAGAGGTTGCAGTGAGCCAAGATCATGCCACTGCACTCCAGCCTGGGTGACAGAGTGAGACTCCGTCTCAAAAAAAAAAAAAAAAAAAAAAAAGTAATCCGTAGTTACAGCAAATGAGTTGGTATTCGTTCCAAATGACGCTTTGTTGCTGTGTGATCACTGGTGAGTAATGCTAATGACTATTTAACTGGGAGATAAGGGGGCAGCTACGTATTTTGGATGAAAAGTTGTATATGCTGTCAGGGATCTCTCAAATTCAATCTCAGATCATCTAATCATTTCTTTTTTAAAAAGACCCAGAGTTTTAGTTAAATGGTAGTGGTGGCAACATTTTGAAAGTTTTAAAAATATCACAAAGATTAAAGTTGGTAATAATACTTAGCATTTCTTTAATATTTTTTCCCAATAAGATTTTTTTTTTAAGTTCAGGAGTATGAGTGCAGGTTTGTTACATGGGTAAACTTGCGCCATGGGGCTTTGTTGTACAGATGGTTTCATCACCCAGGCATTAAGCCTAGTACTCATTAGTTGCTTTTCCTGATCCTCTCCCTCCTCCCACCCTCCACCCTCCACCCTCCGACAGGCCCCAGTGTGTGTTGTTCCCCTCTCTGTGTCCACATGTTCTCATCATTTAGCTCCCACGGCATATGGTATTTGGTTTTTTGTTCCTGCATTTGTTTGCTAAGGATAGTGGCCTCCAGCTCCATTCACGTCCTTGCAAAGGACATGATCTTGTTCCTTTTTTATGGCTGCGTAGTATTCCATGGTGTGTATGTACCACATTTTCTTTGTTATTGATGGACATTTAGGATGATTCCATGTCTTTGCTATTGTGAATAGTGCTGCAACGAACATACATGTGCATGTATCTTTATAATAGAACTATTTATATTCCTTTGGGTATATATCCAGTAATGGAGTTGCTGGGTCACCCAATAAGATTTGTAATCACCAAATTCATAAAATGATTATATATGGGTTTGAAGGTTATTCCTCTCCACTGTCGATAGTCATTGTGTTATTTTCCAGTCTCAGTGGAATGAGGAATTGGTTAGACAGCAGCCAGTCTGTGAATGGCATTGACGTGAACTGCACATTCCTGCATAAGGTGCCTGTCCTTGTGTGTGTTAGTCTGTTTTCAAGCTGCTGATACATACCCGAAACTGGGCAATTTATAAGAAAAAGAGGTTTAATGAGGGGAGGCCTCATAATCATGGCAGAAGGTAAAAGGCACGTCTTACATGGCAGCAGACAGGAGAGAATGAGAGAGCCAGGTGGAAGGGGTTTTCCCTTATAAAACCATCAGATCTCATGAGACTCATTCAATACCATGAGAACAGTATAGGGGAAACCACCCCCGTGATTCAGTTATCTCCCACTGGGTCCCTCCCACAACACAAGGGAATTATGGGAGCTCCAATTCAAGATGAGATTTGGGTGGGGACACAGGCAAACCATATCACTATAGTATGAAGTGCCTTGGCTGTGTGGCAGTTGGGCAGAGCTGAAGGAAGATGACACCTCTTGGAAAGGATGATGTGTCTGTCCTGATGAATGAGTCCTGAGAGCCCTTCTCAGTGGATACAGGCATGAGCTTGTGTTGTTTCCTTCACTAACGTAAAAGGAGGACTACTAGAGAGACCAGGATGAAAGCAGGCAGGGGAGGGCTTGGAGAGGACTTCTAATTTGCTGAGCATCAGTATTTCCTCTTTGCTGTTGTGCTGGGGCAGAAGTGTTCTCCTCTCCCCACCTCACTTTGCCACCAAATAATCCGGGAGTTCCTGTGTTCTAATCTCTCTACTGTTGCAGTGATTTCTCATGGCAACTTCAATAATTACCTGAAGTCTTTTTATTGATTGATTGATTGATTGATTGAGATGGAGTCTTGCTCTGTCGTCCAGCCTGGAGTGCAGTGGCGCAATCTTGGCTCACTGCAAC